GCGGGAACCGGTCTGTATGTGGGATCCGAACCCTCGGCGGGAGCGCCGCCGCGCTCCCAAGCGGCGCACTGTAGCAGTGCGCCACCGGGCTGGCCAATAATTTTTGACCTAATTATATAAACTTGTCATTTTGGATTGGAAATCTCTATAGAGACTATTTTGGTCCTAAGTCCTTTTTAATCAATGTGGAAATGAGATCCTAAGGGGTGGAGTGGCTCAGCTGAGAACACATAGATAGTTTTTGGTAGAAGAAGCTCCTGGGTTCCCAAATCAACTCAGAGAACACCTAATTCAGTGTCTTCCGCATTCAAGAAACTTTTGCTGACTGATTCTAATAAAAAGAATGTAGTGTGGTAGGGTAGAAGTATATGTTTTGGAATAAAACTAGGTTTAGAGTCTGGTCTGGTCATTTATTAGCTGCATAGATTTTGATAATAGCCTCTTAGCCTGTCTCCTCATCTGTAAAATGTGTATAGTTATCTCCACTTCATGAAGTTGTGTTAGTGAAATGGTATAAAGTGTATGCAGCAATCGGAACACAATGAATTGAGGCCATTATTTAAAATAATCTTCAATAAGTTATAAATTTGCATATTTGATTTTTCTTAATAATCCTTAGATTTTACCATATATCCTTTTTCTAAAATGAGTAAATGCATAGTGGATTTCTTTTTTCCCTTTCGCTCAAAATGTTGAAATTATTTGGGTGGTTATAGGTATTACTCAAGAGTCCACTCAGTTATTTTTCGTAACAGTTCCTTTTTTAAAAAAAAAGTTACCAAGAACTAAGTATTTTGGAAAGTGAATGCTCATAGCATTTAGTATTGCTAAGCTGGGTGATAGAGATAATTTTTTTTGACACTTTGCAGAGCTCATTGTTTTCTCTGGATAAAAAGATATAACATTCACTCAGTATACATTTAGAGAGCTCTAACAGGCCTCAATATTAAGTCTACTGACAGCTCCAGAACTGGTCTTGACCTTCAGCTATTTTTCATAATGCCACCTTGACTTTCACACCACTTCTGAGCCCAAGCAGGAATGAAGACTACCTGTCTACAATGGGATGGCAGAGGGAGTGGAGGTAAGGTCATGGGAGGCTCTTACGGTTAATAAATGAAGACCTGGTACCACTTCTTAAACACTGCTGGGCTCTGGCATATTTATAATATTATATCAAATATGGAAGTAAAAGTAAGATGTTTTAATATCAAGTATGAGGGTCACAGCAGATGATTTTAACAGCCTCCCCCCGACCGACTTCTAAACTCCAGAATGTTTTAATACCCTTAGGTGTCAGTGAAAGTCTACAGGAGTACCTTTCCTGAAATCCCTGCAAAATTAGCTCCAGCACTAGGAAACACAGGGTTAGGTTCAGTACACTAAGAATGAGTCAGAGAAAATGCTAGTGTTGAAAACTGTTTTCCTCCTTATAAAGCTCATACTGACCAATAAAAGGCTACCAGAAAGCGTTCAGGAAAGAATAACATGATAGGATGTAACAAATACCCCACAGCGAGCTGGTCCATGGACTAAAGCATAATTCCAAGTGAGGGATTAAGAAACAGGAATCTAGGCTACGATTCTGTTAACCAGACCCAGATAAATTATTAAAGGGAAGCATATTTTTGAAATTACTCTTCGTGAAGATGAGTAACCGGCCTTACTATCAATGTCCTTCAGTGTTTTTGACAGGGACAGTGGTGAGCTGGGTGGATCTTTACTATCCCCAGTATCATATAGATCTGTGGTTCTCAAACCTGTTAGCATATTTTTGAAATTACTCTTCGTGAAGATGAGTAACCGGCCTTACTATCAATGTCCTTCGGTGTTTTTGACAGGGACAGTGGTGAGCTGGGTGGATCTTTACTATCCCCAGTATCATATAGATCTGTGGTTCTCAAACCTGTCTGCACAACCGAGCACTTTAAATAATCTTGATACTCAGCCCAGGAGATTCTGATTTAATTTGTCTGGGGTGCACCTTGGGCGTCTGGATTTTTTTAAAGCTCCCCATGTGATTCTATTGTGTGCTTAGCATCGCAAACCACGGGCTATTGGTAAAGTGTTGTAACAAACTCTCCTCCTGAAATCCACCACCACACCCTTTAGCTTCCTGGCGCCTGTTTGTTGTCACCCTCTCTCCCGCCCACATACACACACCTCAGGATGGCAAATTTCTCGCTTTAGTCAGAGTACAATAATCCCAAAGTGGAATGCAAGAGGTGTCCTTGGTAAACCAGGGGAACCCAGGTAAAGAAAGCGATTCCCAAACATAGTAATGACCACAGCCTGCTGCCTGGCTCCGCTTGTTTCCTGGGCTGTTGCCACATTATGAAGAGTCCTAGGAGACGACCCACTCCCTCGTTCTTTCCCACTGTCATGTTGGCATTTGACAGACCTCCCAGTTGAAGTCACCACAGCCCCGGGGCGGGCACCGTTTCTCAGCTCCTTAAGGGCCACCCCTGAATCCACCACTCCCACCGTTCAGCTTGGAGGAGTGCCGCCCACCACCGCGACGGGGGGAGCCAGGCCTGTGTCACTTGAGCCACTCCCTTGGCCCCTTCCCCCTGGGTTTTGTTTACTTAGAAAGCAGATATTGACGTCTCCGGAAGGCAGCTCAGCACAGGGCCCACCCGGCAGTGGCAGGAAGGAGCCGCGGGGTGCGGTGCCAGAGAGCTCTTCCTCCAGCCCTGAAACCTTCTTCCGGAGTCGGGGTCCCCGGGAGCGGATGACACCAGGGTCCCCGCCTGGCCACGCCCTGCACCCGGTCGCAACAAACGCCTTGCACGGCCGGCTGCCCTGCCCCGCCCCCCGGCCCCGCCCCAGGCGCTCATTTATCTCGGCTCGCGGAACTACTTTTACTTAATCTTTTACATAATGATTCATCTTTTAATCAAAACATTTCTTATTTCATCTCTATAGAAAAAGAAAATCAGAATGTTCCAAAGCACGGACACTGTGACCAAAGCACCCACTCATGCATCAATAGTTCACCCCAAAGCGTGGCTTGTGGCCAGGAAACTATACAATAGCAGCATGCTTGGCTTTAAAGAGCGTCAGACTTTAGTTTAAACTCTAATTCTTAACCTTCTTAACTTACAATTTAACCGTTTTTTAATCTTATTTATACTTACTATACTTGATTTTAATAACATTGATTAGTTATGGTTAACAATTTAATATTGCTTATACCCTATATTGATCATTTTAATTTATAATCAAAATCACAATATTTATACCTTTTATTTCCCTGCCAGTAGACTCCGGGAACAGCACAGGGGACAAAGTAAAAAGTTAAATGATCCTACTCAAACTAACAAAACACACTATATCATTCTTATTATTACTAGGGAAACAACATGTTCTTGGTAAGTCAAGGGAAACTGTGGGAATGGGGAAAATAAAGAAATCTGTAACTGGTTAATGATCAAATAATTGTAAACACCACTGCACTCGGACCCGCCACCTCCCTGGGGGATGTGGATAGAAATCCAACATAGTAACTTCATTCCACACGTACAAGAGCATGACCACAGCCACGATGGGTCCATGCACACATCACTAACAAGAAAGACTAATAATAAAATTAAATCGAGCCAACCCATACTGAGAACATGCATCAAAAACACCTGTAGTACTGACAATGCCCTTTAAATAAACCAGTTAATTCTGATGTATTTTAACATGTCCTTTGAGAAACTCCAGGGAATTTCCCAAAGCCATACTAAGCCAAAAGGTTAGGCTGTTTAATTCTGGGAAGCCTTGTCAAGCAACCAAAGGTGAACAAACAAATTCCATGGAGCCATGCCACACATGTGGAACCCCCTTGTAGCCTGCAGAACAAGGGTTATCACTCAGGCTCCCATGCCGTTCCCTATAGCAGGATGGCACAGAGCACCGTGGATTGAAAATGTTTGGGAAGAAAAAACAATAAAAATAATACAAATCAAAAAAACACAGTATAACAACTATGTACATTGTATTAGATAGTATAAGAAACCTAGAGATGATTTAAAGTATACAGGAGGATGTGTGTAGGTTATATGCAAACACTACACCTTTATATATTAGGGACTTGAGCATCCATGGAAAATCCTTTGGGGTCGTAGAACTGGTTTCCCGCTGATACTGAGGGATGACTATACACTTGACACACAGCAAATGCTGTAGTGGTATTAATATAGTTAAATATGAAATATGTGCAAAGAAGTAAAGAAAGTGGGGTGATTTAAGAACCAGATAGTTCCAGATAATTAAACATAGATTATAAAATAAGGTGATACTACTTTTTTTGTTGTTGCTTTTGTTAATAATTTTAGGAAGCTGTGATGTTCCACCCAGATTTCTTTTTGCATCCCTCAAAAAGACTTACAGCAATCAGAATTATTTCCCAGTCGGTTCCGCAGTGGAATATGAGTGCCGTTTGGGCTACAGAAGGGACCCTACTCAATCGGGAAGAATAACTTGCCTTGAGAGTTTAGTATGGTCCGAACCAGCTGAATTTTGTCAAAGTAAGTATAATTTTAACTAGTATTCCCAATCATCTGGTGTTTGGGGGAAATAGTATTTCTTCCTTCATTCATGCTGGAACTTATGTGTATATGTTATTATTTAGAATGATGTTTAAAGGAACCATGAGAGTCATTTTATTTTCAATTAGACAAACTCAATATCTATCTGATAGGCATACTTACAAATTTCACATCTTATTAGTTTGAGGTTATCTAAAATGAAACAAGTACATATTCTAAATATGTTGCTTTTTTGAAACATCATAAAAGAGGGTAGAATTAAAGAAGTTGAAAGGTAGGAAATATCAATGGTTCAGAAAATGAATTTGCATATATGTGCCTGATAATTTTTTAAATTTTTCCATCTTTATTGAGGTATTATTGACAAAAAATTTTATATATTAAGGTATATAACATGATATTTTGATATATATATATATATATACACACACACACACACACACACACACACACACACACACATTGTGAAATGAAGACCACAATCAAGCTAATTAACCTATCCACCACCTCATATAGTTACCTTTTTATTTATGTGCCTGATAATTTAATAAAAAAATAAATTTGTATTCTCTTCTAGAAAAATCATGTCCTAATCCTGGAGATTTAGTAAATGGTCATATCAATATAACAACTGACATATTGTTTGGTTCAACCATCTACTTCTCATGTGACATAGGGTAAGTTTTAGCACACTAAAACTCTATATTTAACAAATGAAAAACAAATCAGGATTTAAGGTGGGGATTATTAGATTCATGACTAGTGTTCACAAGCTGGTAGTTTATCATGAGCTCATCACAGTTAAATTTAGTAAAATGGGGCAAGAAAGGAAAATTTCTTATACTGTCAAATTCTCTAAATTCCTAGATTTTAGTACGTATGTGATTTAATATAAAATTTTAAATGTGAGTAGTAAAAAGAATTTGAAATCTGTTGATGATACTTACAGAAATGACAATCCTTAAAGTGTTTAAATATAAAACCAATCTTCAGTTGACCTAAGTAATGAATTTACATGTGGGTTTTTCTGTATGCAAACAAACTTATGAAATATGGGCTAAAAACATTACTGTAAAAATATCTACTACTGGTCTAACCTAAGGTCATTTATATGTTATGTAGGGAAAAGGAACTTACTCAGTGAGTACCATCAGTGTCTCAGACAGTGGAAAACATTACTACATTCATTTTCTCATTTAATATCTGCAAATCAAATTATGTTATTTTACTGTGTGTGTGTGTGTGTGTGTGTGTGTATGCGTGTGTTCCTGTTCTTTATGTTTCTCATTTAATATCTGCAAATCAAATTATGTTATTTTACTGTGTGTGTGTGTGTGTGTGTATGCGTGTGTTCCTGTTCTTTATAAAATAAAAATATTGCTATCACTTGTCACCAATACTAAACACGGATGTCAGTTGGGTCATTAACACACAATCTTGGAAGTACTTTGAACTCTTTAAATAGAAGTACATTCTAGTACTGATCTTTAAAACTCAGAAATACAAAATATTCATCTATATCATTTAAAAATGTTTTAAAACACTTTTATATTTTCTAACATATGCCCCATGCAAATAAAAATGTTCTACATGTCTTATACTGTCTTACCCTTTGGAGTTCACCTTTTTAAACTTAACTTTTTCTTTTCCATTAAACTTCCCTATAGACTTTACCTACTATTGTTTTGTCTCCATCTACTGTTGGTATAATAAATATTATTTTAAGATGATATTCTGGAGAATTGGGGGAAAGTCAAATATGTGTGAATGTAACAAATTTCTTTTTCTCTTCCTATTGTTTTAGGTACTTATTAGTCGGTTCATCTTCCAGTTACTGTGAAGTTACAGGGAATACTGTCAGCTGGAGTGATCGATTTCCACTGTGTGTAGGTAAGACTTTTAACAACTCTAAGCACTCAGGTTGTGGACTGAATAATAAATGATAAATTATTTTCTCTTCATTAAGAATAATCCACAGTGTATATTTGTAGCACCCTTACCCTTCAATGAGTGAATCTCTTCACTCATTAAAAGACCTTTTCTAGGGATGTTTCTTAATTTATTAGCTGTGAAAATAAACCACCATGCTTTTCTGAGCCTCAGTATCCTTAACTATATAGAATGAGGATTAAAAACAAACAGGTTTGTGTTATGCTTGGTCATTTACTGTATAACCATTTCTTCTAACAGTCAGGTAAGAAAGAGAGGGGATTTCTCCCAAACCCCAACAATTTTATGGAAGAAAGTACTATGGATCAAAGTATCTAGATGACTTCACTGTATATCCTTAAACAAGTGGCAATAGAAGGCATTTAACCCCTGTCTCTTACTTCAGATCCATCATTTCTCCAAGACCAGCATTGCCTTCATGTCTCTTTTTGATATTATTAACTGAGATAATTATCTAGAAGTATTTTAAGGTGTGATATATTTTTATCATTAGAGAAATAAGGTTATATAATAAAGAAGAAATAGGGTTACTGTATTTTCTCAAAGGGAGATAGGGCACAGAAATAATATCAAATGGATATATCAGTCAAAGATATGTCCCTTACAGACACATGTCTTCTGAAAATTGAGAGGAGTAAAATATATGCAGCATTTTTAAATGTAAGCTTTATTTCTCCCATCCTTCTCTCTTTCTTCACCCAACTTAACATTTCTGCAAACGACTTCTAAAAACCCTCCTATCAAAATTATTTCTAAGTTCAAGTTTTTTGTGTTAGAAACTAGAATAGATTGTGTAATTTATCAAGCATTTATCAATTAGCCCCCTATGGTGGGCCATGGGTGGGGTCAGTTGACATGAAGACACATAGAAGGAAGCCTTGCCATCGAGGAGCCTGCTCCTGTCACATACACTGTGTGCCCACCCTTCTAGATCTGCTACTTCTCCTTTTTTCTCATTACAATTATTTTTAAGTTTTCATCATTACCACCCACTACCACCTTTCCCATTCCCACTATCCAGTAAGAGATATATAAATGATGCCGCATTAAAGATGGAAAGCAACAAGCTGCACCACATCTTTTTCTGGCCCAGGCAATGTGTCACAAAGTCTGAATTAGAAATCTCCCAGACTGAGGCCAATATTTTCACAAGCAGTTGCTGTCATGAATTTCACAAAAATGTGGACCGTGTACGGTAGCATAGAAGACCTTTTGCACTGCAATCCCACTTCCCCTTCATGCTTGCCCACATGTAGCCGATAGTCTTACTCACTGTTTGTTGTCTTGAACACCGTGGCGAATATCCTCGTGTTTGTATTTTCCTCCTTGATGCTTATCCATCTCTCCAACTCAGCAACCACTGACATCTGCATCCTGCAGGAAAGAGCCTCTTTTCCTAAGCAACCCTAGTGTCTTCCACTATCTCTATAAGTCTCTATTTCTTTTAGGCTCTAGTTTTGATTTCCTACATAACTTTTCTATTTTGACAATACCAAAGCGATTGAGTGGAAAGTAAATTCTTAAACAGTGAGCTGCTTCACCTCAAGTGTGCAGCCCTGGCCTAGAGACACATGATGCTCCATTGATGTCCGTGTGCGGATGTGGAAATATGTATATGAAAGAGGAAAGAACAATGGATACATTTAAGAATTTTCCTTTGTTATATGTCAGAAAAAGGTCGTACCTGTTTACCTCTAAATGAAGCCTAACTGTCAGAAGGACCTGTTTTCCTATCACTCTACCAGTGTTTGGTTTTTTGGGGTTTTTTTTTCAAAATTAATTTCAGTTGTGCTGGTGTCTGCTAGCCTGTAATCAATCCCTGCTACTATAACGATTGTTTATCCCAGACCCCTCTCTTTATCTTAATTTCCCACCTCTAATCACTAAATCATTTTGCTTTGCCTCCTCAATATATTTTTCAAACCTGTTTTCACCCTCCATCTATACCACTTCTAACATGGTTTATGGTCCGTCCACTGTACTATAGCAATCAGGGCCACTCCTAACATTTTCAGGGCCTGGGCAAGAATATCGATGGGGGTCCCTGGCCTAAGAACCACCCTCCTTCAAATAGCCGTCCTCCTTCCCACACTGTGAGGGGTCTGTGATGCACGGGTCATCACGATGCACGTGATGCGCGGTGCTAGTTCCTGGAACATGTTCTAGAATGGAGGAAGTATTCTCATTGAGCATGTCCTCTTAGCCCTGCAGAGGGAGTGACACATCTAGAAGAGGGTCAGAGCACAGTCTTTTTTTTTTTTTATAAAGATGACCGGTAAGGGGATCTTAACCCTTGACTTGGTGTTGTCAGTACCACGCTCTCCCAAGTGAGCCACGGGCTGGCCCAGAGCACAGTCTTTTAAAGTGTGGGGCCTAGGGCAGGAGCCTCAGTGTCTGGGTTCAAGGGCGAGATGACCGGTAAGGGGATCTTAACCCTTGACTTGGTGTTGTCAGTACCACGCTCTCCCAAATGAGCCACGGGCTGGCCCAGAGCACAGTCTTTTAAAGTGTGGGGCCTAGGGCAGGAGCCTCAGTGTCTGGGTTCAAGGGCTATCCTGGTGGCAGTGGCCTCCTGCCTCCCTTCTTGTGCTCCATTAATGTTTCATCCATACTCTGCCCAGAGTGATCTGTCTGAAACACAGGCGTGACTTGTCCTTTTTCTTAAGATTATGAGTGTCTCCCGTTCCTTACAAAGCCCACAGTCCTTAGTATAGGGTACAAGGCTCTCCATCATCTACCGACTGCTCCACACTCACATCCTGCCCTCATGTTTTATGTCTACCCATGCAGTCTGCTTGTTGTTTTCTTGTACCTCATGCTTCTTCATGTCCCCACATCATTCCTTATGTTGCTGCCTCTGCCTGGAATGTCCTCCAGCTCTTTCTTTGCTTGGCCCTGTTTTCCTCATTAAGAGTTGGTTCCCCTAGCCTTGCAGGAAGATTTCCCAGCCTGGTACACTGTCCTTCCTCTCGCAGTACTTCTATGATAACCCTCAGATTTTGTATTGAAGTTATCTCTTTGAATCTCTTTCCTAAGATGGAGAATTACATCCTGTTGAGTTTTGCACTTCTGTTTGTAGAACAATGCCGTGTATGTATCAGGTGTTCATAAAGTGTTTGAACTGAACTAGTGGTGGTGTGTGTAGTCTCTACACATCCTAACTTAGAGTAATCAGAATAGTATGTTCTCGCTCCTTGCTTTGATCAATGGCCTAGGAGTAATTTATAAATTTGCTGGTATTCTGTAGGTACTTAAGTACATGTGGTGCAAGATGATTTGACGTGCACATGTGATTACATTGCTTTCCTGCTTAAAAAATTAAAAAATTTTACTGCTCTAGAGAATGTGGAACCATTGAGTTTTTTGTTAGCGTAACTGTCACAGAGAGGCCTCTTTTTACAATACAACTAGAGTGACTCTACTTGTGTTTGTTTTACAATTTTAGCTGCTTAGTATGATTTATTTTGAATAAAAATCTCTGCATCAGTACATACTAAAAAATTTTACTCTAGAAGTCAAAATGCAACTGTGACATTTAAGATCTTTTGCTCTGTCTGAAATAATCTGTATTTTTATCTCAAGCATTCCGATTGAATTCCCAACTCCTTTCATTTGGTGTCATTTCTCCTTGGAATGAAGAGCAATTCTCTCTTCTCTGCTCTGTCTTAGAAGAAAGTGCCTCTTAGTTTAAACTCAAGTCCCATTTACTCCGTAAAGTCTTCTCTGACTGCCTTCCTTTGCCTCTAAACTCCTTCAGCATTTGATTTTTCTAGCACCAGTTTGATATGTAACATGTGCAAACTTTTTTGTAATTTTTGTTGTCCATACATGTTTTAAATATTATTTCTATAAATTGATTTCATGGTTAGCATTTATGCTCTACAGCTTTTGCATTCAAAGTTCCAAATATGCTACTCATTATTTAATAGGCCTTGTTGATAATGCTGAGTTTGGAAAAATAATAGATTTTGATTTTTTAAAATTAGATTGTTAACATGTTTTAGTGTTACTTATTTGTACAAATACTTTACCAGTTTTATTTATTTAAATTATGTTGGAATTTTTTTTAAAGCAATTCAGTGTCCAGAGCCACCAAGAATTGCCAATGGAACAATTCTACGGGAAAGTAACACCTATGTATATAATCAGTTTGTAACATATAAATGTTCTCAAGGCTTCACCCTGGTCGGAGAGCCCAATATTTATTGTATAGTAAAAGATGGTGGAGGAGAATGGACCAGCGCACCTCAGTGCAAAGGTAATCAGTTTAACTAGTTATTTATATTTTTGCTTTATTCTTACCTTTAAGTCTACACAAGCTGCAGAGAGTCTGTGAACTCTCTGAGAAAAGAATGTAAAATGTTGTACATATACATATTTACGTTTTTCATCAAATTCTCAGAGGGGTCTGTGGCTTGTATACACACATATATGACATATATTATGCCATTTTTAGTGAAGTAGCTTAAATTTGCTGTTTCATACCATGTTACTTTCAGTAAGTTGATACAAATATCTCTTGGTTTGTACAAAGAGCATATCAAGTGGTTTATTTTATTAAATTGGAGCAGGAACCTTAGATTCCACTGAGGGCTCTAGAAATGAGGGTACTTCAAAAAGTTTGTGGAAAATAGAGTTGAAAGATAATATAAATCTTTTCATGAACTTTTTGAAGTTCCCTCATAATGATCACACATGTTGTGACAACTGAGAAACTGTTGCCTAGCTGTTGACTTCATTGAATTATATATATTTATTTTCTGCCTTCAGAATTTCTATTATTCACTCTTCTCTCTTCATCTTTCCAGATTTTTTTCCTCAATGTCTTTTTTTTATATTCAGACAGTACTCTCAGAATCCTTAGAAGGGCTTTTTAAATATATTTTAAAAGACATACTTAGGAGATCACCGAAGCTGGATTAAACATTGTACAGTACCAATAGGTGGCATTTGTTTTTTGTAGTGGTGAATGCCAATATGACTAAAGCAAATATTACTTTTATAATTTTAATTGAAATTCTGTCAGCATAAATTTAAAAAATCATTGCTTATTAAAAATAACTTTCTATTATGTTATGCATAAACGTAGTGACATAATGGTAAAACCATGCAGTTGAATAAATTCTTGTGTTTTATTCTAGAATATAAGTAAACATACACATATTTCTTTTATGTATCATATCAATTATATGGCTATATCATTTATTTAACCAGTCCCCTACTACTGGGAATTTAGGTTTTTGGTTCTGGTTTGTTTTGTATACATTATTATTACAAATGAGGCTGCGATAAATATTATTGGACATCTGTTATTTCACATGTGTGCAAATACATTTGTTCAATAAATTCCTTGCAGTGTAATTACCGTACCAAAGGTATATGCATTTAAATTTTTGATAGCTATTAGCAACATTGTTTCCAAAGACACTATACTAATGTACTCTCCCACCACCAGTATTACATCATTGTACTTCTTTGTACCTTTAATGATAGTCATTATTATGATATGGAAATTTGACAATGTAAGTGATGAAAATTTTATTTTATTGTTCAAATTCATTTAATTATAAGTGAAGTTTCGCATGTGTGTGTTTTTTTAATTTGGCCATTTGATCCACTCAATGTTTATTTTCCCCTGTTTTATTAAATCATCAGTTATTTAGAGCTTAAAACTATAAGTAGTGCCCAAGTAGGTCATGGCAGACCAATGCTTTCATTACTACAACTACAAAACCTGGGTGGCTTACAAAAAAATCATGCTTTTAAAGGCATAAGATCCAGCTGTGGGAATAAGGACTGAGTGAACTAAATAAAATTCCTAGGGTTGGGGGATGAAGGCTTTCCGGTCTGAGGTGATCCAGTTGTACTTTTCCTGGGGGCATTTGCTGATTCTGAGCCTTGGCTAAGGATCCATCTTGACCCAGACAAAAGACTACTGCCAGGAAAGAAGGCAGCAAAGCTTTTAATGGTTGTGGAGGACTAGGGTAATACATGGAAACTGAGTCCTTGTTTAGAGCCAGTTTTTTCCAAGACCATTTGCTGATTTCTGGGGCTGCATGTGAGGCTGAGAATCTAGATGAACAGCTTCTAAAATGCAAAGTGAATCTCTCAGAATCTGGTGGTATTTGAACAACAGATACCCATCAGAGCAGCAGGCTTTTATTAAGCATACCACCAGTCTTCCCCTTAAGACATTTCTGCTCATTTTGAAGCTATGTCGGGGAGGAGGCTAGATGGCTGGGCTGGGGAAACCCTGAAAAACAGAACTGGATCTCCTGCAGTCTTTCAGGACTGAGGAAACAATGATCCACCAGACTCTCAACCAAAAGCCCAGAAGGGCCACTCTCAAAGAACACAGGCAAGAGCGTAGATAGACTGAGTCTTACTAAAACTGTAACGCAGCTCAATCTGCCTATCAGAAAGGGGAACCCTCACTTTGGAAAATCATATCATCTGAGTGTTTTATACCTAATGTGTAGCTTATAATAAAAAAAAACCCAAAAACTATTAGATATGGTAGGAAGCAAGGAAATATGATCAAACCAAGAGAAAAAAAACGGGTAAAGGGGCCAATTCAACAGAAATATATCTCAATCTGAAATCTGTATGCACTTGATAAAATAACTTCAATCTATATGTAGCAAAATGGACAGAAGAGAAATAGACAAGTTCACAATCATAGTTGGAAAATTCCACATTCCCATCTCAATAGCTAATAGAACAAGCAACCAAAAATCAGTAAGAGTGTAGAAGATGTGAGTAACAATTGAACTTAAAACAAATTTACTTAAAAGAGCATTGAACCCCATAGTGACAGATGGCAAATTTTTTCAACTGTACGTGGAACATTTACCAAAGTTGACCATATGCTGGGTTCTAAATTGCTGTGCATTTCAGAAAATTGAAGTTATTCAGAGCATGCTTTCTGACCACGATGGAATTAAACTAGGCATCAAAAAAAAAAAAAAAAAGATAACTAGAAAATTAATTTCCAGGAAATTTAAACCCTGGTAGCATATAAGTCCTCTGGATCAAAAATGAGAACTAACTTGTTAGAACAAGGGTGATTTTTATATGCGAGGACCTTAGAATGAAAAGTCTATCTAAAAACCTCACTTACCCTGATAATAATATCCATCACGTTTTGAGTGCAAGTACTGTGTTACCTGCTAAGTATTTTACTTGAGCTATCCCTTGTAGCATCCTGTGAGATGGGTAAAGGAAGCAGAAGAACAACTTATACCATCTGAGTACCTAGAGTATAATATGTGTGGTGGGGCTGGCAAGGGTAGTTACTGCTTGAGATCACCTGTCACTTCAGGGACAGACACTGTGTGAACTATCTTACCTAAACTATTTCCCTTAATCCTTATAATAATGTTAGGCAATCTGCTCTGTTTTTATCCTCATTTTATATATGAGAAAACCAAAGCTTAGCGGGATTAGAGAACTTGCCAAAGCTCACTAGTATGTGCTGGAACCAGGCTTCAGCACTATTTAATACGGCCTTAATAGGGAGTCTGTATAAGCAACCTGGAGGCAAACAGGCTCTGAAGACATAAAACGGTGCTATGTTGTTAGACGTGTGATTTTCAGGGTGTGTCCTTAACAAAAGTTTCACATTATGTGCTATCTGGCCTCAAATCTAAAGAGAAACTAAAGTATGTAAAGTTGGTAACTGCACAAGAGGAAAAAATCAAGTCATTTTTCTCAGACTCATGTTTTACTTTATAAAAAATAAAATGAAACAAAACAGGTTTTCAGGCTCACTAACTGTCCCAAAAGTACTGGAAAATAAACTGTGCTGTGGTCATCTCCCTTGGTTCAGTTGTTCTTTGGCCTTGGAATGAGTGAAGAAAAAATTTGGGGGAGAAAATAGAGATATGTCACAGAATTAGATTGCTACTGACTCCAACTTCAGTTTCCTGTTTTTCCACACAGAAGATAGCTTCAGAACCTCAATACTACCTTGGTATAAATCTGCTTCAGTCACCTGTAGGTATAATTTATATCAAACCAGAAGCAATATAGCATTTTAATTCTTTGAGAAATAGACAATAAGACTTGGTTTCCTAAAAGTCACATCTAGTTGTTGGTGGGGAATAGCCATAGGGCGAGCAATGGCTAAGAAATCTTAACTTGGAAAGCGATATTTAGC